TTAATTTCCTTACTGCTTAAGTCTTTTTGTGCTATTATGTCTATAACATGGCGTTACAAATATATTTCCAGCATTATGTTATTATCTCTTGATTCTTGAGTCAAGTGACCATCGCGAGCAACAATAGCTATGAGCCATATTGATTTCAAATGCATGCTGCTATAATAGTGTTGCTTTATTCTGAATATCAGGAAACTTTTTTTTTGCTGAATATTATATAATATTATAAATATAAATAATCTTATAAATAGTGATATTCGAGAAATATGCCGCGATGAATTATAGTAAATATAAAAGTGCATCCAGATTATCGAGCCGAGTCTCAATCGCAAGCCGAACATGCATCTCTTATTGAACCTCTAAAGAAGTTTGGTTCCTTTGAAGAAATTCAGTTCGCAGTTCCCCTTGATAATCTAGATGCATCTGTACGAATATTTTCGTAAAATAATAGATATGTATGTCCTTCATCACGTAAATATACCTCTAATCATTTACATAAAATATGTCTCCACATAATGGAGAACTTTTTATATATTTCAAAATATTTTAATTTTTATTTTTTGTAGTACTTATATTCCTTGTAATTAGGGGAAAGTGATGCAAGTTGTAATAGAGGATCAATTGTAATAATACCATAATAATTTTATTCTCGACTTTATTTATTGACGAAAGGTTGAATTGCGTGCGCGATTGCATAGCTTTAACGGAAGTTAAGTTATTGACGAAAAATCGACTGGGCGCACGCCAGTGCAAATTTATCAATACCTATTATTTGGAATCAATATCAAATCATAAATTTTGTTATTCGCTGTTATTTTGTTTCCACTCGTCTCAATAATTTGTCATAAAATCATTTGATATGAATAATATATATATACACACACACACACACACACACACACACACACACGCGCGCGCGCGCGCACGCACGCACACACACACACACACACACAAAATGTTTTGCAATAAGCATATATCAATTTATTACTTACATGTGAATTTAATCACATCTAATGGAAACAAGCGGCGATGATTGCAAAAGTAACATCACAGTGATATCGATTATAACATATTTAATCGTATTACAGTTTGAATTATCAATTGTAAAGATGTGAGTCTTACGGAGAAAGTCAAGAAGACTGGCTATAATACATAGATTGCAGAAAATATTCAAGCTGCGTAGATCACAATCAATTTTTCACTTGCTTAAATATGATTGAATATTTGATATTTGATTATTAACAATAATTATTTTTGCTTATAATGTTTGAGATTTCACGGTTATTATTTTTTTGTTATTATTTTTTTTTTTCATGTTTCTTAATGTTCATTAGCATAGTGTTGATGGGTTACAATTGATACTCTGAAGTGGTACAATTGACACCATCGTGTCGATAGTAATAATAACAAGCGGCCTTTAATGATGAATATTTTTTTATAATTTGTTGTGTTTTTCTAATATTTATTATGTTATATTTATTATGTTATTTTTAATATCTATTATAATCAACTTCAAAGAAGTTTCTTGTTTTCATATTAAATATATAAAATTAAAATTTTTTGTGATTTATAATAAACTAGTAACAAAAATCTTTTTTTTTACAACCAACACTACTCTTCCCTACATACTTTTTGAATTCTTTGGAGTGCAATCATTTTAAAGAATTAAGCCAATTTTGAAAAAGAATAGCTCAATTTTCAATCTTTAAGAGTGAGATTTCACTCTTCAGAGTGACAATTCAATCTAAAAGTTTTTAGAGAGTACGGTTTTTATTTCAGCATGTACTTCCAATTTTTGAAAATGCTTAGGCTAATGAATTTTAAAACAATTAGTTATATTAAACGAGGTTTGCTTTACTTGAAACTTGAAGAGAAGTTGACAGAATTTCAATTTATTAAGTAAAATGCCAAATTGGCATTTTACTGGAAAAAGTTGGTTCGAATAGTACATGACTTGGGTATCACGTACGTAATAACGGTTGTACTGTTGTATGCTTTAACAAAGCAATAGACTTTTTCGAAAGAAAAGTGCTCACAAAGTCGACGCGTGAAAAGGTCGACAAACTAGATGCGAAGTTGAAAGGCACCACTGGTTAGATGGAAGGGTTTTTCATGTCATGACATTATTGGATACAGCTTTTGGCAAGACTCCTCTTGATCGAACCGCAAAATAACTGAAGAAAGAGGTCGGAGTTGATGATTGAAAATGCGGGTTCTTTACCGAGATTTTGCAAGTAAGCGGGTCGACGCTATTGCGTATTCTGGTACATTTCGGAAGTGGATTAACAGCATCAATAGAACGATCGTTAAATGATTAAACGGTGCATGGAAGAACTAACTTGACTAAATCTTCTTTTATTCGAGAGTACATTTTCTGAATAAGTAACATTTATTTATTTTTTTTTTATATGTATATGAAGCGTATTTAAGAGAATAATGGCTTTATTGTTTCTCACACAAAATATTGTGGATGTGTCTTATTCTGAGCTGGTCCGTAATGTATTTGAAGCTTATCGAGAACTGAACGTTTCCTTGAGGGAAATTCTGAATGACGAACGTGTATGTATATATAGATGAAACGTTGAACGAGAATTTGATCACTAATGGATGGTGCATTTGCGGAGAGGATTCGTATCGATTAACATCAAGGTAAATGGTACAGCAAAATCGATAGAATTATTCGTGTCGCAAGCATTACTCGTGATGTGCTCTGGCGAATCTAATTGTGCACGTGGGAGAATAATGTAATTGTACGCGTACGCGTGAACTCGTCTAGTTTTCGTACTCGATGGCGAACGATTAGCACGCAACGGAAAGATAATTCTCCATTGTGCTTCGATATCGTTACATATTGCTATTAGTCTCATTATTTGCCCATACATATCACAATATGCGCCTGTAATCAGACCGCATGACATTCTAAACACGCTGTAAATTATTTTGTTTCCCTTCATGAATTATGCCTGTTATTATTTATGTCATACATCACTACTGTATTGTTAATTTGATCAATCGGAACGGTTATGATCGATTTTGTCATACTCGTTACGGCGAACCTTTCTACCATGTTGCGTCGTTCGTTCGGTCAGTTGCATATCGCTCCAATTATTGGCCTCTACTACCGTTACCGGGTTATAATGGTTTCGATACATTTGGCACTGAACACGCTAGTCGTGGCTGCCAATTAGTATCGATGGTCTGTGTCTCGAGATTGTAGTTCACTGAGCGTTGCTGCACCACGTGGTGTACATTCGCGTATCGATCGCATTTATTTGTATTCGCTATATGCACCTGTACATTGTTGTTAAATCTCACATAAGATCAATGTTTGTTTCATAAACTGTTTTATTATTGTAAAAATTAAAAATTTATAAAACCCCATTTTAGAAGAACTATTGTATCAGAATTCAAATTTAGAATTTTATTTATAATTTTATGTATCAATATAAAAAAGTATTTGAAGAAATGTAAAATAAAAGTAAAAAAAATTTGTACGTATACATAAAATGTGTGTATACATAAAATTACAAATGTAGGGTATTCTAAATTTGACGCAAATTATATTTAACTTAATTTTACTGCATTTTTAAATATTATCTCTGTTTTATTACGTATTTTTATATAAGAAAAAGATTAGTAAGAGAGTTTTTATAATCTCACATAAAAATGATTAGAGCAATAGTTTAAGTTCGGAGTTCGAATTATTCAAATAATATATACATATATTTGATATTTGATGAGAAATATTGTTATCGATAAGGAGATGCGTTGTAATTTAACTTTCCTAATGGAATAGATAGCGTTTGCAATTCTAATAATGATATAGGACCATAGAATCTCCTTCATCTATATGCACGTATTAGTAAAGTTACACAATCCTAGTGCAGACGTCGATTTCCGTTTCACACATCGCACACATCGGTTAAGCGTCGCGGGACGTCATTAAAGTCACATATATACATACGAACACACATATACATACAAGTCTATACACACACACACACACATATGCATATCCTTCTAATGTAGGACGCAGCCGGCAAGGCTAAATTTAGGATAAGATGCAGCAGTCGAATTTCGAAGCGTGCCTACGCTTGTCGCTAACCGGTCGACTGTCGAAGCGATTTTTTTCGTTTCACGAATACTCCAGTCGCGAAAACTCTTTGATCTGCCTGTAGAGATTCACCTCGGCGAGTGTGAAGAAAGATCGACTCGTCTTCTTCAACATCCGCGACGTGAGAAATCGGCGCGGTGGAGTTCGCGTTAATCTCCACGTATCACGTGTCGTTAAATGCCACGTGTTGTAAGCACGACAAATAAATATAAGTCGGTTGGGCGGATCGCCAGGATCATTGTTAATTTTGAGAATGTATATACGTATATATAGTATACGCAGTAATATTGCGTGGAATCCTGGATTATAAATTGAGGTGGAAAATGATGAGAGAGATGATTACTATAGCCACATGAAATATTATGAAAATTATAACTGATTAATTGTGCAAATTTATTGTAACGACATAAAATCAAATATTTTGTTGGTATCTTTTTAGTAATTGCATATTTTAGAAGGAAATATTTTTTTAATTAATTCTATTGTCATTCACAAAATAGTTAATAAATTTTTCTCGAATTTATTGAAGAATATGCTAGAATATATTCATTAGCTAACAATACTCATTTTGATAATACGTGTGTATAATAGTATAATAGTGTAATTTTCTGTATAAACATATGATGATATTTTGTGCTGACATTCTTTTCAGAGTGACCTCATACTATATAGCTATTTATTCGTTATGATCGGTCGATCATTTTTGTCAGGCTTGAGTAACTTTTAGAGTAATTTTTTCACACAATTGTAAACTTTTTAATAACTTAATGGTTTGGGAAATTAAAAAGATATTTTATATTGACTTTGAATGATGTAACGTAAAATATTTTGATAAAACATGAACTGATTCGCTACGACGGAATATAGAAGTGCGTATTAAATCACGCAGTGCGCGATATGTGGGCGCCAGTGATATCTGTGGTGTGGACCATCATGTATATGATGCAGCGGAAAATAATGCCGGGAAATCTGAGCCAGGAGATGGCGAGGAATTTGAAGGGTAAATTATTCTAAATTGTATATACTATTATTTGCATGTTCGCATATCAGTCAATTTTCATTTATTATTGTATATTTTATTATTTTGAGTTTCATTTCCTTCTCGATTGTAATATAAATAGAGACGCAAGGAAATTTAATTAATCAATTGCAATTGAACGATATTATGTGAAATAAACGAAATTCTAAAATAAAGGGAAAAATAAATCACACAGCTGATTCGATAAACGTAAATTATTTTTTGGCTCAACTTAATATTTTTTAATTTAATATTTTTGTAGCTTAGCTCATTGTTACATAACACTATTCAGTGCTGATGATTTGATGGTTAGACGATCGTTTAAATAACTGGAAAATTTCGCTTACAGCGAAGTCGAAACGTCTCTTCTGTAATAATGAAATAATCGTATGCCTCGTGTGGAACTCGTTGATCATTTCGCAACGGAGATTTACGAGGGTCCACAATACGTAGAATTCGGCTGCAGTACAAGCATGCGGCGGACGTCGTTACGCGACTTCTGTCTCAATTTCTATGCTTGAATACAATCTGCGTGATTTAGATGCAAGGTCATGTTAGGCTTGGTGGAATTCGTTACGATACGGGATGTGCCATTCCGAACGTCGAATTAGCGAATTAATTGGAGAACCATAGGAATGCACGTTTATTGTTTCGTACCGTCGATGTGATACTTACAATGGAAAGCGGCTTTTATTAGCGGCTCTTTTATAGGAATATTAAAGTAAATGGTTTTTTTGAATAAAAAGTTATGTGTGTAATCATTGTCTAAAATCTGTTAATATCTCTCTATTAATTAATACCTTTTCATTTTCTATTATTTTATTCGTTGCTCGGAACGAATCTAAGTCAGTGTTACGTAAATTAACATTTGGCAGTACTACAGACCGGTTAGCTTAGTGCACGTTTTCGTTGAAGGTCGAGAAATTTCCGTACAATGGGTAGTTTTAGAATTAAGCGGAAATTCTGGTTTCTACACGGAGAGAATTTTTTCTTAGAGTTTACCCTGAAAATATAGTCGTGGGACAACATTGAATTTCGAAGAATTTTAATGTAAATCTCTCATTCATTAATAAAACTACAATAAAGTATAAAATAAGTTTGATTAATTTTACTAAAGTGCATGGTAAAAATCTTTAAAATATTGTATTGTATCACAACTATTATATTTTCAGGATAAATTTTAAAAGAAAATTCTCTCTGTGTAGATTTATTTTTATAAATGATTTTTGTAGATTTATTTTTTCGTTAATAGTCTGTTTAGTTTAAGTTTTTATAAAAACGACACCATTAACATTCTTGACACTATTAACATTCTTTATTTTCTCTTATATTATAAAATAATTTTTTACAGCGATAAAAGAATTTCATTGAAAAGTATTTTTTACTGATATATTGAGCTATATTACATTTTATTGTATGTAATGTAGTGAATGAATTAAATGAATAGAATGAATTCGTTAATTTGTAAACATTTTTCTAATTTAAGGAATTATGAATTAATTATATTACCTTAGAAGGTTTTTTAATTGTTCATTGCATGCCATTAAAATCTGTATCTTATTAGCTGTGACTTGTAATTTTTTAAATTTTATTTTATTTAAGATACTTGCGCGGATATTTCAAAAGATTTACCATCCTCGGAATGGAAATCAGGAAAACCAGAAGCAGACGAAGTTTAGATAATGAAGGTAGAAACCACGAGCGGCGTAACCTTCGTTAATTGAATAACGCTGCGCTCGCGCACCTAGAAAAGTACCCTAGACATGCCACCTCTACGGCTTTCTCTTATCTCCTTGCTCATCTTCATCGTCTTCCCATTTCCCGTTCTCGTTCTACGCGCGTCTCTTCTGTTTCCTTCGTATTACGTTCGTAACATAACGAGACGACACCAACCGCCACCCGGTACGATTGGTTAACGGAATACGAATGAGCTCGAGAAATAATCTTCATACACAGCGTCAAGTCGATTTGCGGTTTGAATATGGACTGGCAAAACGTGGCAGAACGTTAATTAAGAGCGGTGAACCATATTTATCACGTCTCGTTTATTATCGTAGATGTATTCGAATTTGCATAATTAAAGGGTATTATTTATCCATTTTTGTTTAACATGATTTATCGTGGATAAATGAGATTCGTTAGTCACGTGATTTTAGGTAGAATGCTAAATTCTACCTAAACGACCAGTTTGGCATCAATATGTACTGGGTCAGATGATGCTTACAGTTCATGCGCTGCTCGTCGCAAGTCCACGAGAGACGGGTCAAACAGCTGACGCTTTCGTGTGTTGCCTGTCTCGTCGGCTACCTTGTCGTCTGTCTCCGAAATTTGCCGCGGGGGTTACCCAGGCGTGACGTAGATGCACGCTATTCTGGTCGGTTTGTGACGTCGTCCTCGGGACATCCAGAAATAAATCCGAATGGCGAGATGCTGGCTTAGTCTCCCTGTCTTCTCGTCTATCTCCTTCTTTTTTCTTGTCTCAAATGAGAGAGAGAGAGAGAGAGAGAGAGAGAGAGAGGGGCGATTGTTGTGTGATGGAGAAACACATTAACTTGCGGAAAATTCTAATTTTACATCAGTGATGTAACCTGTAAAAGTTTTGAAAGGCGCTTGCTGAAAAATATCACGATCAAAATTCTAAAATTCTTTGCTTTTCAAAGTTATGTCTTTTCCCAGCAGTGAGATTCATTGATGCACAATCACCTCGCAAAAGTTTTTTTTCGAATTGATCGTGTGGAAACGTAGATTTTGTAATAATTTCGACTGCCACGACAAGAAAGATCTCCGGACGATCTTGCTTCACGACGTTTTCAAGGCCTTTTATTCCCGCTGTCGTAAAATCGCATTATACTCCCCAATAACGGACGGGCGTTGCCGATCGATTGAGAAAAGGGGGAAAAAGTTCGCTGTAGCGCGATAAATCTTGGTCGTCTATTTTCTCTCAGATACTCTCGTAGTCGTTTTTCTCTTAGTTTCGCGGTTAGTAGTTCGAGAACCAATCGAGCGCTCTCACTCTCCCTTTCGTTTTATTTATCACGATAAAAATTCTTCCTTCTCTTTTTTGCAACACGGTAAATCTTTGATCGTTTGATCCTGTTTAGTGTAAGATAATGATGCAAGATGCGATTCCTTAGCAGAAAAATTGGGATAAAAAAAATTGTTTAAATATCTTCGAGATCTCTATACAGAAAAAAAATTATTATTAAATCAACTATAATATACTCATATATAAGACAAAGTATTGTAATCTTCAAGGATATTAGTCTTAATTTAATTGAATTTGTTTTGATTCAATTCAAGCATTTGCAAGTATTTTGTATTCAATTCAAGACTTGCTCAATTAAAAATTTTTATACATTAATACAAATTCAATTAAATCAAGACTGAAATCTTTAAAGCAAGATTTTTTCATATATGAATATATTAGAGTTGATTTAAAAATATTCTTTTTTTCTGTGTACCATCATTGAAAGTATTATCTATTAGAAGATACAAAGAGTTTTGTTTGGGCGACTATTTGATCCAAAGTGTTAAATCTGATAGATGTTAAGGTTACGGATACAAATAAGAACAATTTAATTAGTATTGCTTTCGCGCAAGGTGCTTTCCTCTCCTCTCATGTAATGAAATAACGTAGACAATCAGCTGGCCATTTACGGGCAGGAAGAATGGCACGGATAGAACCGGAAAATGGTAGAAGAACAGCGGTCGTTGGTACACGCTACGATTTTGCTTTATTTTCCTTTTCTTCAAAGCGGATCTCGTTCTGGCGAACGACGGACGCTTTTTCGAAGCCTGCTGCATCAAGCCGGCTTCTTTTTCCTCTTTGTCTTTCTTTCGCTATGGTTCCACCCTTCCCGTTCCTTATTCTCCATCTCACCTTTTATCGCGTTTTATGTCATTTCCTATCTTTCTGGTACCAAACGTAAATATATTTTCGCACAGCAAAACGGTGCCTTTAAACTTTACGCCCTGTACTCCCTGTACTTATTCTTATTCTATATATAGACTCGAGCAAACTTTTTATTAAGAAAATAAAATGTGATTTTTTTAATATACATGCTTGTAACAATTATATGCATTATAATGCGCGTCATGCCAAAACTGTAGGGTGAAAATACATAAGACATAATAATACATAATAATACATAAGACATAAAATAAGACATAAGCGAATTTAACACAAATTCGCTGTCTATCTAATCTTATAGTGGAAGAATTACGTGTGTTTGTTATTTTTTTTACAAGAAAAAATGCAACCTTTATCAACTCACCTCAATCAATTAAATTATTGATTAATTTTTTAACAAATTGTATTTTTTTTTTAAAGTAATAATAATCGTAATATTTTCTGAAATATACTAAAAAGAGAATCGTCTATGAAATAACGATTATGAAATAATAGCAATTAAGTACGACGATTTAAAAACGATTTATTTGATGTCAGCAGATCGCTTGATGGAATCTCATCATGGATTGCACAGCTCATGCGGTCGTAATCGGCTTATAAAGAGCCTTTGGTTTGATCCTGCTTATTTTGAGATTGTATGTTTTGCATATAAATATTCTTTGTGGCGGTGTGTGATTTTTGCAATAAATTCTTTGAATATACATCTATTTCGTGTAAGAAACACGTATGTTTTTCTATTATATCTTTTTCTATTTGAATAATAAAGTATGATATTTTCACTTATATTTATTTTAATTTATCTTCTTTTATTTGCTTAAAATTTATTATTTCTGTTTTTTTATATTTATTATTATATTAAGTTAATTGAGTAAAATGTAAATGATTAAACTTTCGAAATTTTTGCAAGTTTTTGATCGAAATACAAGCTTAATCATAATTTTGAATTGTATAATGAAAATGGCAATTGATATTGCATGTATAATTTTTTATTTGCTGAATTGTTTTTTCGCGTGGATAATTTTTTTATTATTTTTTAATATCACACCTCTGCTTTACTTGCTTTTCTTTTTTATTGGCATATGGAATAGGACATAGGAGTAGAGTTTTCAATCAGATAGATGTACACACACACACACACACACACACATACACACACACACACACACACACACACACCACGCACGCGCGCGCACACCCCCACACACACACACACACACACACACACACACACAACGCGCGCGCGCGCACTCACACACACATTGTATACATGCAGGACGTTCTAATTTTCGAAAATTAAAAATATCAGATTAAACAATTTTAATAATTAAAAATATTAAATTAATAATTTTTAATAATTAAAAATATTAGATACATTACTTTAAATACGAAACGTTATTACGGTCTGAATGTTAAGATGTTGAATTATTATATATATTTATTTAAATGAATTAATTTTAGAAATTATATATGCCGATATGATTGTCGGACTTTCAATGCAATCAATCTGAAATATTAATAATTCCCCAAATTTTCCAAATTTAATTTTAATATAACTGTAATAAACTTATTGCGAAAAAGATTATAAAGATTATAAAAAAATCGAAAAATCAAAAGTATACGAGATATTTTATATTTTATTTTCGCACATTTTGATATAAAATAATATAATATGTCTCGTAAATTAATCATTTTTTAATAAACGTGTCTTAAGGATGTTTTATACATATTTTGAAAACGATAATAAAATTATGAAAAAAATTACAGATTATTATAAATCATTATCATATTTAAAAATAATACGACAAATTTGATGACGATTTACTATCTGGATCATAAGTTATTTTAATAAATAATAGTACTTTTTAAATCTATGCTCTAATAAAAATATATGGAAATGTATTATAAACTAAATGATAAAAATCTTAATTTGTTAATATGACTACATTATGCATTTAAGATCATTTACATAGAATTACATTGCGATATATGAATTAGTTGTTCAGTAAATAAACAAAATATTTATTTCTATATCTTTGTAATTAATCAATGAATCACAATGAAACTTTGCATAAAATTATTTCAAATATTTAAAATATTTATAAAAGAAAAATTGTTTATCATTTAAAAAATTTTAATTTTTAACATTTTAAAATTTTAATTTTAATAAAAATAATAACAAAAAAAAATTAATGAATTATAAAAATGTGCTATTAAACAAAAATATAAATCTTATAATCTTATTCATATAACTTTAATACGTAGACCGAGGGCAATAGTAATATTGTTAATATTTCTTAAACTATAATAAATAATAATACATGAAAACTATAATAGATAATAATACATGTGTATGTGGCTGTATAATAAAATTTTGTGGACAGTCGGCTTTGAATCATTTGTTACATGCTGGTTCTCGCGAAACGTGTATGAATGCGAGAAAAATTATTTTTTTCAAGTAAGCGTCAAGTAAGTTTTGTTGCGTACACAAAATCTAAAATACTTTTTTCTTTTATAACAAAGACATAATGTATAATAATAATCTTGTTGATTTTTATCTAGATTTTTATGTAAAAAATTTATTATAAATTATAAAATATCATTAGGGGGCAATAGTCAACATTGATGCCTGGGATCAGTAACATTACAATTGTCCGAACTTACTTGATTTTATTTTATTTTTCTTCATAGAATGCTATTAATAAGAAAACGCAAGGTATACAATATAAGAAAAAATTATATAAAAGAGTTGTCTTTATATAAATAGACATTAATATAAAAGAGGTTATAAAGGATCAGTTATCCATTCGTGCAGCTACAAGAAAGAGTATAAGACTCACACACAACTTATGTAGTTGTGTTATGTATCTCTGGCAAATATGATACAATTATCCCTCTCTGTTATAATCATTAAATCACGGGATTGTAAACAAAATTCCTCGTAATTTTTCTTTAAAATTTTTTTCTAGTTATACAAAAAAATTAAATCAACGAAACTTTTGTAGCTAAATAAATTCTACATCTAAAGATACATATTTTTAAAGATACATAGATATTTTTTAAATATAAATACTATATTTTAACTATTATGACATTTCAAAGTCAAAATGTTACTTTTGTTTCCGGTTTTCTCTATACAGCTTATTTGAAGTGTAAATATTAAATACTTCCAAATTTAGTTTTCTGTGTAGGGATTGTACGTCTTATCCTTAATACTTTTGTATATGGAATAATTGGTGAATCAATTGGTAATAAAAACACATAATTACTTTACAAAAAAGGATGTAGTTGCATATTACATAATTTATTTTGAAAAGTATCTATATGTATTGATTCAATAATCATTTTAGTTTATCAAAAGATGAATAGTTTATATGAGATATTTTATATTTTATATTAAAATGTGTTCAAGAAGTATAAAATATCTTGCAATTATTGATTTTCCGATATCTTTACCTTAATATTTTGTGTGCAGTTGAAGGAATCATATTATATAAAAAAATCATACAATTCTGTTTTAAAAAATGATTACAACCTATGAAGTTTGTATGCTATGAAAAATTGATTTTTTTTTAAATTAGGTTTATTATTATTTATGCCCTATCAGGTTATACAATTTTTGTCTGAAACATTTTTCCATATCTTTTATATTTCTCGAAATGTGAAAATTAAACCATTCATTAATGGTATACCTTGTATACACGTTTATATATATATAACAGATTGTTTATATATTTTATCTTTCTCGGCTTTATTTTTGGCTTCATAATTACTTCATAAAAGTTTTTTTGTGTTATGAAAATACCTACGTCATATAATAAAACACAAAGTCTATCGAAGAAATAAAGATAGAAGAGAAAATTAGATTAGAAACAGTTTTTTGAGTAAAAATTTGGTAAAATTGACTGACCTATTCTTTCTTTTTTTCTTCATTACCGTAAAATAAGTTAAGAAAAGAAAAGTTGATTACTTACTTAGACATAGCATTATTTCTTTGTGACGTCATTGTTCAATGGGGTTACCGACGTAACCTCAGAGAATGCAAAAGTAGGTCAGGGACCATGCGATATCAAGTCAATATAGCCTGCAGTTGTATCGTCATTGTTCCTTTGTTCTTGTTTCATGGTTACTTTTGAGTCTTGAAAGATAGAAATTTCTGTTTTATTTATTTATTTTATTTCTTCAATTTCTTTTTTTGATGTAAGCTCATTTATGTAACGATGATCATTTACTATTTAGTCGTTTGAAAAGAACCATTATTGTGTGTTAGAGAACAATCAGGAAAAAAATTGCTATGTGAGATTAATATCTGCTATTTTATAACAAATGAACAGAATAAAATGAATTAAATATTATTCTGTAAGAAACTTGTTATTTTTATTAGTGCATCATAAAAAAGGAATATAAATATAAAAAAATAAATTTTTAACTGATTCTTTGAAGAGTATAAAATTGCAGTTATTAAATAATATTTAATAATTTGCAGGAAAGTCTCGATTATTGTGTAAATTTACATAATCATTATTCCGGATATATTTTACTGAGCTATTGTAATCAACTAAATTATTAACTCTTTTTTTATAATATTTAATTTTATAAGTTTATATATTTTTTAAAACTATATTCTAATAAAAATAATAGTTTTGTTTACAATATAAATATAATTTATTTTATTTTATTCTTTAAAAAGAGACAACTACATTATATGAAAATATTTGACAATTTTTGAAATTGCAATATTCAACTGTTAGATACATTTCAAAAAAACATTTAATTTATGATTTTTATTCCAGGTGAGTCTAGCAGCTTTGTCGACTATCAGGAAGTTCCTGTAACTATGGGCTTCACACATCGTCCAGCCCGAAAGAATGCAGGTATGACATTGTCTTCCTTGAGAGTATTATCTTGTGTAAAATTCATATCTATTACTACTACAATCTATACAAGTTTTTTTATCTTATTTTACCTGTACTTAAAAAATGTGTAAGTTTATTCGCAATCAAAAATCGCAATAATTATACCTCGAATTATACGTTTATGAAGAAACCGTTAGAACCGTTTCTTTCATGATATTTTATGATTTGAATCTCTTTTATTTTTTAAGAAGAAAATATTTTCTGTTTTTGTTTAAAAAAAATATTTACAATAAACGAAAGTTATTTAATAATTATAAAGGAATAAGCGAGTTTGCATGAAAAAGCGTTTATTTTAGACGTTGAGATACACACATGTACGATAATGTAGGTCATATATGTAGCTCAATGACTACAATCTTTATGAACCACGTACACACTATTTAAGTTCAAACGATATAATAATGCATGTTGAAGTTTGCCAAACACGTTTCATCCTATTTGTGATATCTTATCGCGGCGAAACTAGGTAATACTCACATGGAAGTCAAATCACGAATCTTGAAGACAGTAAACTTAAAGTACAGTATACGCTTTTTGCCTCTTAAATTCAGCTTTATAACTATAGAAACGCACATTTGTAATTCTTGCGAACTGGTCAAGCTACATTGCTTTTCGTTTGAAACTACGATTATTCGCTTGTGCAACCAGAAAGGATGCGCCGTCGTACGAGAAATAGCGCTATTAAATTTGACTGCCACTACATCGTACGACTCCTGCCGTATCGTTTCGACCTGTATTCTTGGTATATCCATGGAGGAATTTTACTAGGTTTCTAGACTTATGACTGTTCCTTCCTCTAGAAAACTTGTATATTTCTTCATATGTGACGTAAATAATTTAAGAAGATGTCTTTAGAATCTCTTGTTTCTTTCTTGAGATTTGTTATGTTTATTTTCTTTTAAATCTGTTATCACAAGGAAATTAATTTGTCAGATATGGAAGTTATTCTTATCTTATTTATTTATCTGACGACAACGTATAGCGATAATTAGCGAATTATTATATTTATTTTTGTATTGCTATTGTTTAAATATGATGTTCCATTTTGTGTTAGGCCAAAATGAGAAGTGTTGTCACTTCTTTTGTTATTCTTTGATGTACTTTCGTGGAAAGGCTGGAGAGATATATATTATACAGTAGCTACAACCGAGAGACACCCGTTGAGATTTCGCTTCGTCAGAGAACAACGGCAACATTGTCTTTTTCGTGATGGGCCAGAGACACGAAGGGAAACTCGAATAGTTATTGAAGGAAATAAGGTCGCCGAAAGAAAATTGCAGGCTGTCACGTGAAGCATTTCTCATATTTTGATTCTTTGTCGGGTCTCTTTGATACATGAATCCAACAATAAGAGTTTGTATTGAGAAACTTTATTTAGACTTGATCTTACTTCACAGACTTGAGCTTCCAATTATATATGTATATGTTTATACACATATATTTATTCTTTTTTGCATTTGCGCAGCGAATATTTATTTATATCTGTCACACCTACACATCCGTATTCAGTTTGAATATAGAATATTAATTATATAAAAAGAATTTATATAATTTATTACATAATTTACATAATTTACATAAAAAATTAATAACTTTTTATTTTCACGTTTCCTTGTTCGATAATTTTAATAGATATTTTGTATTTATATTATTTTATCATATTCATTTCTTTTTATTTGCTCGCTTGTATGATTTTATTTATTACTAAAACTCACGGTCGAACGTTCCTGATTGACGTAGTTAATTCTTGAGGAGCTAAACTACTGGATGGAGAAACCGTGCAGGAAGGTGGATCGTTAAGTGAAATAGAAGGGAAGCATTCGTAGTGAGCCACAATTGCTGTTTCTCCGACGAACGATTTTCATGAATATTCATTTCCGTATCTTCTTATGAACGTCGTAAACACACTTAACTTACTCCTCCGAAACGCGAAACCTGTACATTTATTTCGTTGATTACACGTTTCTTTAACTCTAATTAACGGAATCTGTCTTCAACAAGATGGAACATTTTTCATTTGTTCTCTTGTTTATTGTATTTTAAAAATGTCTGATGTAATTGCTACTTTAATTATATAATAAATCGAACTTATCTATCGTCATTTGTCTGTTGATTAATGCGAATAGATGGAGTTGAAACTTTCAGGTGCACTTGAAACTCTTACTCTTGTTGACTATAAACGTTAATGGATTAAAGGCAAATTGGTAGAGAAGTTAGTGTCTTCTTCTAGTGTGCAATAATTTGAAGAATCTCTTGGTCGTCGTGTCAATACGCGTTTTCTTGGCGTTTCCGTGGTGCACCGAATTTTCTGACGATAATGCTTCCATCGCCCTCGCTCGTTGACCTCCTTCACTGTCAAGAATACTATCCTAAATTTAATCATTTCGTAATCAATTTACTTCATATCTCTTGAAAAGTTGGAATTTATCGATCCTAATTCGATTTTCAATAACGCTCGTAGAATGTTGACTCGGCACTATAATCGTGCTTTTTCCTCGGCTGTATTTTTAAAAATTCTATTACTCGCGCACGCGTTTTTCTAGCGCATAGCGGATATATCGATTGGCAGGTTTCAAAGTTAAACAAAAAATAATCTTGAGCGAAATGTAAAGTGTAGTATTGCACTGTAAATCTGCGCTTAAATTAACCTGTTCGCAAAATTTACACTATTTTCTGGTCTGATAACCCTGCTGATCACGTGAAAGCAGTGAAACTCCTTTGTACGTCACATCCGTGTGCCCACTTTTAAATACACAAACTTCTTACGGTTCCATGAGGCTGGTAAAATATGCGGGTAGCACGTTCGGGGTCAGGATCGCCGTTGCATTACAGCGAGACCATGCTGCAGTTGCGCCGTCATGCTCGAATCGCGATTGTGCTGCACTGCGGTTTCCTGGACTGGATTATCCGTCAGCAGGATGTAAACGGTACCAATCGTTATTATCGCACGTAAATCATAAGCGTCAGTATGCCCAAACGTGCATTCCGTTTTTGTCCAAAAATGCACCAGCCGAAAATTGAAAATATTGGTGCAATATTCCTTTCCATTGGCATTTCCGAGACACGTTCGCAAGTTGTAACGTCGTTTCATATCTTTTCTTCGTTCCTAACAATATGGCGCACCTCTTGTTCTGGATCATATTTCCCTCTGAAATGCATGTGAGAATCATTTTCCACTCGCGATTTATCCAATTATATATATCAGTGTTGTTTGACATACATATTTTCTATCTCTTCATCTGCCATTGATGCATCTTTAAACATCCTTGCAAGAACATATTCGCACCGGTTACGACTTATCAGGCAGGCTAAGTCCTTTGCTGTACCAACAGTTAGGGTTGAGTAAGCCAGGATTAGCGAGTCTCTCTCGCTGCTGTTTCCTTCGTAGAGTATAGTCTCGCTCATGATATAGACGAAGAAAGAAAATTTACTTAACCAAAGTTGGCGCTAAGCTAACGTTGATGCAACCAGCTCTCCCGGCCAAGAATTTCATTAGATTAATCTCAGCGTTTCCTTGCCTGCGTAAAATTTATCCTGTCGCAAATATTCGCAATCTGGAAAGTGCAGCAATGATTATGTACTGCCGAAGACATTAATGAGAGAAAGAAAAGGAAAATTTCAGCTTGTCCGAATAGATCGCATGGATGTAATTCGCTCGCAGCTAAGCTTTCGGTGGGTCATTTACTTTGAAACAATTCAGGTTTTAGATGCGATGCCACGTCGGAGTGTCGTATACATCAGTGTCGGAGGAAGGCACGATCCGACATTGGTCGAGATCTATGGCACCGAAAAATCCGCTTTGCTTCCGCTGGCATTTTCCCGATGTGTCGTCTTTTCTTTTTTATTTTCCCAGCTCGCGCTCCTTATTTAGTAACCGCGAAAAAGCCAATGCGAAGAATTGCTCGCAGTTCGCGCGAGCATCGAAAACGTGTACCCGTGAGAATGTGCATCGTAAAAATACCACGGCAAAGAAATACGATTCGCGGCTATGGAAATTCGTGGTAAGTCTATAATGCGCTCATACAAATTCCTTTTATGTTTGTCAAGATGTAAGAAAAATGCGATGCCGTAAACAAGTGCGATAAAATTATATCAATTATTAATGCCACCGGTATAATAGAATGATGTAAATTAATTGAGAGAGGAAAATAATAAATATGGGTTGAGAAACATTGAACCACGAATGATGATTATGAATTGTGTTTAATGATTTAAAATGATTTCTGTATATATAACATCAAATTTTAAATTTATTGCGGATTGATTAACTGGATTTGATTATGAAATGCTAACGGGCTAACGCCCGTTATTTTCGAAATCCGACTAAATTTAATTAATAGCATTTGAAATGTTACGCGATTTTGTATTTTGCGAAATGCTGAACGAAGAGTCATTGAATACTCGAGTAATATCATCATTTATGATACATGAAATTTTGCATAATTACGAATCGATGCATGTCATTCCAAGAGAAAATTATTCCTATTATTTCATCTTTTAGCAAGCTATTTTTAGCGTTGAGTCAAATATGCAAACGTAGGAAAATATCGATTTCAAAGCGGCAGCCATAATTTTTATCAAGTTTTCGGCGTTTTGACGTAAATTCTAACGCTACCCTTTGTAGATTGCACATTGTTACAGTGCAAAATAAATCTTCTGTCTCGAAAGGCGAGTTTAACGTCGTGATCTTTGCTAGTGTGACATTTCGCGAGATGCGTTCCTCAGGTTTTACGATCTAATACTTTTTATTCGTGACTTACGGCTTGGCGGGTTGATTCATTTATGAAGGTGCAAGGCGTTCAAGATGTCCGGGCCCATAACGGTCAGGAAATCGATTTCTTCGAAGGAATCTTAAATATCATTTCGTTCCGCTTCCGTTACCACGGCGGAGTCCCGTTTGGGTGCAAATCTTCGAGACTAAATGAAATGAGACGTATAAAAGTTGCACCGAGATGAGT